AGCGTCTGGATCAGCTGTCTGATCTACTCTCTATAGTTCTAATGAGGACGCAGGCAGCAGCATCTGGATCAGCTTCAGTCTCTGATCTACTTTTTAGGCAAACCTATGAAGAAACTGTTGCAGTGATCAATTCCACTGATTCTAAGTCTAACAAAAGAAAACTGACCTGATCTGCTTGAACTGTCTTTGTAAATTTATAATTGGAGCTATATAAATAAGCTGAATTATATTGTATTGAAGATTTAAAGTAAAAGCATTTCAGCACGATTGTTAAATTCAGAAGGTAAGTGAAACACTTTGCCAATGGAACAAGACAATTTACATTTAAAATGAAAAAAATTATTCTTTTGTTCCTTTTTTAATAATTAGTTAGAATTTTTGTCTTTTTTTTCTTTGCATATTTTGATAAAATTTTCCTTTTATTATTGATCACATAAAGGATAATATCCTTTTTTTAATGGAAAGAGTGAAACTGTTGTGGGAAAAATCTGTTCACCTCCTCATGTTGATTAATCGGTGCTGATTTTCTTATTTGCTTAATTTTGAAAGGTTTTCTCTCAGGCTGTCGCACGGCTGCAGGGTTACGCAGCGTCTGGGTGAGAAGCGTTATCGCTCCAATAACAGACCAGGATCCTTCCCCTCAGGGTTTATTCATCATTTTACAGTTTTTTTCTTCTGTGTTTGGATTAACGGTATGTGGAGACCTCCACAGCTCCTCTTCAGGCTTTATGTTGGTTTGAAAGAACTTGTCTAGATGATAATAGGGCAGAACACGGCAGTGTTATATACACTGATTCTGAAAAAAAGTGGAAAATACTTGTTTCATAAATGTTTTGTGGCCATAAAAATGCTTCAGCTTTATTCTAAGGGTCAAACGGTACAATCCTGCACATTTGGAGACACTGGTGACACCAAAGGTTCAAAGCCCCACAGCTCTGGAACTGTTGGAGCTAACGGTCTGAAATGTTCTGCATTTGTGGGTGACATGATGCAGAACAAATGTAAAATAATGAAAAATGCCTTTTCCCAAGCATTTTTTCTATTACTACTGTTCAAAAAACACCTATTCATTTCAAGAAGAAAAAAAAAACTTTGAGTCATGTTTGAACTGATGCAGCTTAGGCTGCATTTTAGTCACATTTATATGAATGTATATTTCCAGAAACTAGAATGCGTTAGCTTTCAAATAATGTATCACACATGTAATGTGGGCTTACAGTTCCTCCGTTATTAGCTTTTCCATTTGAGTATGCAAAATAGGCAAAGATACCCAAAATGGGGTAATTTTAATAAATAACAATAAAGCAGATGGGAAATAAACTGTTGGTATCACTTTCCAATTTTTATTAACAGACCTTTTCCTTTATTAACAAGAACACAAAACAAGGGTTAATACAGGAAAACAAAAAAAACAAAAACAAAAAACAAATCATTTCAGCTGCAAACAAAAAGCTAACATTCAGAAAGGTTAAGTTTTAGGGTAGTTGGCTCAGAAGTGGACCGGCTAACTCATCTCTCCTGCAGATTCTGGATGAAGATCTTCTCCAGGCTCACAATTTTAGGCCTCTTTCTGATTTCCAATGTTTGCAGCATCTGAATCTCTCTGTGGTGGGGGGGGGGGGCATTTGGTGTACTTTAAAAACATAAACCAGATATTCTAAAAATCATCTAGTGAGAACAAAATGTAATCATTTTCAAAAAAAATTACTAAAGAGGTTCTGACACATTAAAGTGATTATAATATATTACAATTGTTAAATAATAATAAAAATAGTTTTAAAACTCAAGTTTACTGTCTAAATAAAGATTTTAAAATGTATTTTAGACATTTGCACAAAACAAAACACCAGGAATTTGACACCAGCTGAACTCTGGTTTAAAAAGTCAGAAAACACCCAACTATGCTGAAAGTGTAAAGCTGGAACAATGAAACGATCGTTCTGAGAAATCACAGCTTTATGGTTTAGTGTGAGGGATTGCTGAAGAGGCAATGAGTCGATGCAATCAACTGGTTTTCCTTAGATAGAAAACTTTGAATCAATCTGACTGGATGATCTGGTGAACTGGAAAGTCTGCTGCAGATGGGCTAACGTTAGCCCGTCTGTAGCGGTCAGGGCTAACATGTTCATTTGATTTGTGTTTATCTGACTGTGTTCATTATTATTCCACCACTAGATGAAAAAGTAATAATTTATTATAATCTAGAGACTATTAATAACAGGAGGTGAAATGCAGCTCCAGACTAGCTTTGAATGTGGTGATGTCATCAGTACGCTTCTGTTCCAATTAACCCAGATTTATTCTGCGTGCTCCCGTTCCCCCAGAGTCTAGACTTTCCTGGGTTCTTCTTAAGAACAGACTTGGCGAGGACAAGAGTCCGTACTCGCGTTCTAGTGAATTGGGCAGCGGCCAAGGTTCTTCCAACATAGAGCTGGTTTTACTAGAGTCTGTTCAGAGCAACTACCTGATTGAAAAGCAAAGCCATGAAGAAATAAATGATGCAGTTAATCAGTTCTAAAAACTGCTAAAATTCACCACTGATTAATCAACTACTGCTGGTTAGATACTGACTACACATGATCTTCCAGCAGAACCCCAACTCTAAAACTGAACAATGCCCTTAGTTTCCGTTAGAAACCAGAATCTGGCTCCAGTTTGTGACTCCAGCTGTGAGATGTGATTGATTAATTACAGCCAAGTTACATTTATATTATTGAAATTTGCTCATTTCACTGAAATAATTCACTAACTGAAACGCAGATTGTTAAAGCACAGACAGCTGAGAAAAGAAAAGATTTCACAACAGAATGTTGTTTATAAATATTACAGGCATAAATATGGGCTTAAATTAAGATATCTTTAATATGTGCTCAAAAATTGAAAAGATATTGTTATTTTATTTATAATATTTTTGCTGCAAATGAGCTTACTAATGATGTTGAGTTTTTGTACTTATCAACAGTAATTAAAGTCTTTTATGCATTGGGAAAACCTGAAGTGTTACTGTACCTCGGAGCAAGGCACTAAGGCCCTGCAGACTCTGCTTCAAAGCACTGGTGTCGTCCTCCAGAACAAAGCGCTTCCCATCTGAGGACAAAACAAACAAACATGCACAATATTCACCTTCAACAGAAATTATCCAGATAATTCTATAATTGCTTGAATAAACCTATACTTGATCTCCAGAATCCGTCTCTGAAAAAAATGGTTAAAGCCCCTCATGGAGGTGACACAACTTATTACCATTCAACATGCCTAAAGTAACTCTATTTAGGGGTAACGAGGGGCGATCAGCCTCTAACGACCTCCTCCCCATCAGGCATCGTAAGGTCGAGAGAAAATCAAACGTTTGAAATTCAGTCGGTTGTGGGCAAATCGCTCAGTGGGCAAACAAGTATTTTTCTTCTTGTCAGAGGAAATCCCAGCAGCATGGCGGGGGTGCAATGAGTGAAATGGAGTTCTTTCTGTAAAATTGACAGACCGTAGTAGCCATGTTTGCTCAGCCATGTCTTTGTCCAAATACGTCCAAAGACTCGTCTATCTTGCCAATATTGTGCGATATGGTGCAATATTCAGCTGATTATTTTTTGTTCTGCTTTTGTTAACAATATTTAGGAGCACGACCACCACCAGCTGGTAGGAAGTGCAGCAGCTTTATCAGGGGTCGTAGGTCAAACCTTTAAATTGTTGATTTTATGCTTGTAGTCTTACAAAAGTTTTCACTTTTTAACTTGTTTTCATAAACTTGTTTTCTCACAGTTGAAACATCCGATGATGCGTATGGGTTAGGGTGTGAATGAGTTTATGTGTTGTTTTCCATTTTGACTTTCTTGTTTACCTTTGAATCGTATCCAACCACATGTTAGGAGCAGCCATTTTCTGCCTTCATAAACCCTTTGGTCACGTGATCACCATCCGGTGATTTTTCCCGCCTGTCACTCAGGCCGAATTCACCCATTTTTTGGTGAAATTTGAATAAACAGAGATAAATAGTTCTTTGGTTGAATATTAATAGCTCTGCTGATAGCCTAGCCTAAGTCACTAAATTTGTGGGAATAATTGGATTTTAACAGCCGATCCAGAAACCACCCAGAGGTGAAAGGCCCAAAATCCTGATAAGTGAGCAGATTAGAGTTATAAATATTCAACTAAGAACAATAAATAGATTTTACCCCCGATTTTGAATAAGTTAAATAATAAGCTACAACTCTAATTGTAGTTAATCTACAGGTTATTATTGGCCAGCAGCACTCACACTTGCCCTTTAGGTACATCATGGACTGAGGACCCCAGTGAATATCGAGCTGGAAGGAAGAAGATGACATTTTATTGGTCTGAGGATGAGTTAGAGATAACGGCTGTTACTGTTGACTGCTGCAAAGGTTTACCTTCTGAGCGTGACAGGACTCTACGATGAGGGAAATGACCAAGCTCCATGTCATGATCACCGTGGCGATTGTCTTCTGAATCAGGAATAAAAGAAAGAAACCGGTTAAAACTTAGGTGATAGCAGGTAGTAATCTTTCTCACGGGTTTAAACTAAAGCTTAGATAAAGCAGAATCCAGACCAAAGGTGGACACGATGTCAGCAGACCTAAACAGCAGGTTTAGTTATAGGTTTTCCTTAGATAGAAAACCTTGAATCAGTCTGACTGGATGATCTGGTGAACTGTGACCTGAGATGACATGATGTGAATTGGAGCTATAGAAATAAACTGAATTTAATTGTATTTAATGGAATCTGATAATAAAATGTGCTGATATCTTTAAAAGTCATAACTATTTTACAAATGAGATCAAATCTATTTGAAATTAAATAATTGTTATAATTATTATTATTATCTTTCCACACAGCTGGTGTTTTAAGTCATTAATTGTGGGGGACCAATGTCCCGGTTGTCTCAGAAAAGACTATTTTGATCCAGTTAGCAAAACTATTGTCTTCATCTAAGCCTTCAACTTGGATGTCAGATCCAGTTCCAACCAGGTTATTTAAGGAGGTATTCCCTTTGATCTCTTCCTCCATTTTAGATGGGATTAATTAATTAATTAATCCCTGTTACAGGGATATGCACCAAAGGTGTCAGGATTCTGCCCTCTGCTTGGGTTTATTTTCAGTTTCTATGTGTTCTTTGTCTTTGTAGTTGATTTCTACCAGTTTTGAGTTCTTTAGTTACTCTCTGTTCCCCCCTTGCCTTGCTTCCTCACCCTTGGCTTCCTCCTAGTTGGCCCTGCCCACACCTGCTGCCAGTCTGCTGATTAGCCTGTCTTGGTTCAGTCTCCCCATATATACTCCACCTCTGCATTCACTCTGTGCTGGTTTGTTGTTTTGTTTTTCCCTCGTCTCTGCTTTCCCACATGAGATTTTCCCTGATGTTATCTTAACCATGTAATGCCAAATGTATCATATTAATACATACGGTTTCTGAAATGTTTTGCATCTGACACCTTTTGCATAATTTAATGGTAGAAACTTTGCTCAAAATCCTATTGTACACAATCAGATATACCTGATAACAGCCAGTAGAAGACTACACAAAAAATAATCTTGACTTATCGCATAGTAATAAATTATTAATATCAAAAATGTATTTCTGTTTTTTCTTTTTACATATTTTGTTAAAAGGCCAAATAAGGACTTCAAACAAAAAAAAAAGTAATTTTCTGTTTTGTTTTATTCTTGGATCGGGCTTTAAAGGGTTAATTATGGTTATCAGTATTTTGGATTCTTGTATTTCTGCCTAAGTTGCCTATTAAATCTGCAAGACTCACCTCTGCATCCTGATCTCTGCATTTGGGTCCTCAAAAACCTCCTCCCAACTGTGACAAAAGGCTTTTAAGGTTGCTGTGATTAAACCTTTACTAATGCTAAGGCATGTTCTGTTTTAGGGATTGCTGTAGAATTAAAGACAGAATGCAAAGGAACATTTTCTGTCTCTAGATGCTAATCCAGGAGGAGAGAATCCTGCAAGGTTAAAAACTTTGAACAGATCTGATCAAATAAATCCGTCCCTTTAGATATGAAATGTTGCTACTTGAATAAAGTGATTTTAATGGAATTCTAGACACTGAAGGTTTTGGTATAAAATGCTTTTTAATGTTCTGGTGAAGATTCTCAGTCATTTAGTTCAGAGTAATTCCAAAAATGTTCAACAACAATCCACTGGACTCTGTTTCCAAGTTTGAAGACGTTTCTCTTCCATCCAGGAAACTTTTTCAATTCAAAATGTCAGAAATAGCGTTTAGTTCCAGGTTTTATACAGCACCCCACAAAGCCTTGTTTTGGTTTAGAAAACATGCAAATAGAAACGAAGGAACGCTATTTCTGACATTTTAAATTGAAAAAGCTTCCTGGATGTGAAGAGAAACGTCTTCAAACTTGGAAACAAAGTCCAAACTTATTTGAAAAGTTTTTTAGATTTTAAAAACTTTACTTGATTTAAAAATATATATTATAACTGTTGAATTTTATTTTGACTCAATATGCCATCAATGAATAGATTATATTAAATGTATGTTGTATAGAGGTTGTATAATATTCAAACTATTAATCATTTGGAAACTGAAAAATTTTGAAACTGAAAAATACACAAACACAAATAGAAAAATTAAACTTCCTTTCAGATTTTAGTTCCCACGGTTCCTAAATGCAACACCAGGATTATTTTCTCCAGGTGCCTAAACTGTCATTCATTTTCCACCCCATGTAATCTAAGCCCAGACCCCCACAGTGAGGGGAGAGCCGTCTGAAACCAAAAATAAAACAAAACTGAAAAGTACTTTTAATATTTTGTTTTATCAGTTCCAAACCTTTTTTAAGCTTCATTTTTTCCCCTCCACTTTAAAATAATCTGAACAACCTTTATGATCCTAATTTAGGTCTGTAATTTTGTTAGAATTGCTTAATATAATTTATAACATAATTATGCAGCTTTGATTTCAAATATTGGAAGTTTTTTTTTCTTATAAACTCTGACCTGCAGTCTCTTGATAATGATCATTTTAACCATTTCAAGCAAATAGCTTCCCTGAAAACACTTTTTCATTTGACTTTATTTTATCTTTGTAATTTTACAAAATATTCAAGTCATTTTGAGCTCTCATATTTTTACAGATTATAAATATTAACACTATGTTCAAACATTTTACATTATCTAAAATAAAACTTTAAAAAAGCAACAACAACCTTGCAATAAAGTAATACTTTTAACTTCACTTACCATATCTGCTGCAGCGATAACCAGTGGCCAAGTCACAGCATGTGTTTGTGGATCAGAGCAATGTTCCAGGCTGCTTATATCCTCCGTAAGGAGCTGGAAGCAGGAACACGTTCGATCCTGCTCCCCATGGGACCTGGCAGGACTCCTGTTTACTCAGAGGTTAAAAAAGGAGCACAAAAACAGGCTGAGCACGTCAGCAGCGGTCCTCTGTTCCAGTTCTGCATGTTTAACTGATGCTTTCCTCACCAGAGGACATGTTTTCACTTAATGCTCCATTTGTTTTTTCAGGTTTCAAAAATTGTTTTTGAATTTTCTTGGATTAATCATTATTTACCCAGGTGATTCCGACCGGAACCAAACCTACATCACATCTTGGTATTTTATCAGCATGATGTGATAAAAGCTGCATTTTGGCTCAGCTCTAGAAGGTGTCCTACATTTCTAGAAAGAGGACTCTTCTTTTTTTACTTAATGTGCAAATGTCATTAACATGTTTCATTGACAGTTTTGACTCAGTTATTCAGTTTTTCTTTCACTTACCAGGTATAAGGCCTACGAATTGGGACATTCAATTCAGTTTATTTCTATAGCGCCAATTCACATCATGTCATCTCAAGGCACTTTACAGTTCACCAGATCAAGAGATTCAAAGTTTTCTATCTAAGTAAAACCAGCTGATTGCATCGACTCAATGACTCTTCAGCAATCCCTCACAACAAGCATGCTTGTGGCGACAGTGGAGAGGAAAAACTCCCTTTTAACAGAATCAACCAACTCCACAGGCGGCCCCGTCCAGGAAACACACAGCCAGGCAGACGAGCTCCGAGCCAGCTCCCATGTCAGAGGATGAAGAGAGCACATCCAGCCAGTCAAAGTGAGAGAAACAGGACTACACTGGAAAACTCCAACATCTAGAAACAAAGGAGTTGATGGCAGCAGCACAGCTGATATTTCTCTCCAGGATGGAGTCACAGCCAAACAGGAACAGACCAGATGAAGCTACTATGAGAAAAAGCAGAGAGAGCAGAACGTTAGAGATTGAACTAACAGATTCTGCAGAATGGGAGAATAGAGATAGAATGAAGCAGAATGATGAAAAAGGGGTCCCTATGTCCTCCAGCAGTCTAAGCCTTTTTTGCTGCCAAAGTGCATCTTGGGAACGTAGCATGTATCTCCCCTTTGCAAAGCTTATACTTTGTGTCTGTTTGGTCTCTTTTTATAGAAGGTTAAGGGATTTTGACAATTAAAGCTTAGCAGTTTTGGACATTACCAGTTCAGAGCTTTGGACTTCTCCTGAAGGTGAAATTATTTCCTCATGAGGACGATGCCTCAGTATGTCTCAATGTTCTGGGGAACATTCTCAGTCATCCTGATCACAGTCATTCCAAAAAAGTTAAAAACAATCCACTGGACTTTGTTTCCAAGTTTGAAGACGTTTCTCTTCCATCCAGGAAACGTTTTCAATTCAAAATGTCAGAAATAGCGTTGAGTTCCAGGTTTTATCCAGCAGCCCAACAAAGCCTTGTTTTTGCTTAGCCTCTTAATATCCACCTAATTTCTGGGAAATCCACCTATTGTATACCCAAATGGAAAAGCAAATAACTGAGGAACTGTGAGCCCCAAGTACATGTGTGATACATCATTTGAAAGCTAACAACTTTTAGCTTCTGAATATATACATGGAAATTGGGTGAGTAAAACACCCAAGCTGCATCAGTTCAAACAAGACTCAAAGTAGTTTTTTTATTCGTGAAAGTCATAAGTCTTTTTTCAACAGCAGAAAATAAGGCAAGCTTGCTTGTTGTGCCTCCTTTGTCATGGTACATTTTTACATGCTGCTATATCTGTGTTAATTGTGCTTTGGTGCTCACTGTGTCCATAAAATAAACTAGGTGGTTGAATTGTGGAGAATCTAAGCTTTCCAATGATGTCTAACATGTTTATATTGGTAAACATTTGTCATTTTCATGCATTCTGAGTTATTTCTAAACCCTTTAAAATGGTTGATTTTGAGAAGCTAGAAAACTTTTAAACAGACGAACGCCTTTGGAATGGGGGCCGTTTGGCTTCTTTCTTAGCCTGCAATGCCCCATACCTGTCTATGTCTCTGAAAGGGGGGTCGGGTCGTTAGAGGGAATTGTTTTTGTCTGGCTGAATAGGAGAGGTCTCCTGTTCTCCTGTAAAGGGGTTGGGGGCTGCGATGATACCCGGAAGGAATCAACTCTATTGCTGCATTGTAGGTTTTTGAAAGCTGAAAATTGACAGATACAAAACATATTTTGCTTCCTTCCCGCCCCTCTCAAACCACCTGTCTTCTTTGTCCAAAATGTGAACATTCTGGTCCTCAAAAGAATGTCCTTTTTCCATAAGGTGTAGATGTACCACGGAGTCTTGTCCAGAGGAGGGCGCTCTTCCGTGTTGGGCCATGTGTCTGTGGAGAGGTTGTTTGGTTTCACCAATATAAAGATTCCTCGCAGCATTGACCTGCAGACACCACTCCACTTAGATTAGGTCTTTAGGATGAACTAGTCTCTGTTTCAGGGTCTGTTTGGTTTGAAATGTTCTGTACTCTTTAAACTAAGAAACAATGTCCAGTAGATTGTTTTTTTTTATGCCTCAATGTAGAAATGCAAATGTTTGTTTTAAAATTAGAAAACATAAATTTGAAAAGAGTTTTTCAGAAAATAAACATTAGAAAAACACAAAGAGTGATATTTTTATTTGTCAATGTTATAACATATTTTCTTTTTTTTTTTGTAATTCAAATTTTTATTGATTTCTTGCATATTGTCAAATAAAATACGAACATGAAATGTAATGAACAGAAAAAACAGAAAAAACAAAAAAAAGGCTGGTGCACCCCCCCACCCCTCTCATCAGGCAACCCAGTCTCATGGGAAAATGTACCCCCACTACGTTGGTCCACACTGCAAAACGTAGTGGAGGTACATTAATGGCCATTTTTTTGTGGTACTGTTACGTTTCTTCTACCTATACGCTTTCTATTGTTTTACGTCCTAGTCACGTGACTTTCAAGATTCCAGCTGGGAGAAGAAAAAAAAATATATATATGGCCGACATTCGCTCATTTTTTGTGGAAAGATTAATAACTTGAGTTTGTTTTTGCATTAAAATGAGTTTTGATTACATTTCTAGTGAGAAATGTATAGTTTGTTACCAGAATATTTACTCAGGGAATGTACATATTCACTTGCTTGTTCGTTTCTTGCAAAGATTTTTCAAGATAATGTGAAACTGTAACATTTTGGTATAAACATGGCTGAGATTTCTCTAACTTTTAGTGGGAAAATCAATAATTTCAATCAGTTTCTGCATTTAAATGGGTTTTTGATTACATTTATAGCGAGAAGTGTACGGTTTATTTACATAATATTTACTTAGTGAACATACATAATCACCCGCTTGCTAGTTTTTGCTACGGGTTTTCGGATCTCGTCAGGATTATGTGAAATTGCAACGTTTTGGCTGCTACCCATCGCCTAGCATTTAGCTGCCACACCGATTCAACATTGAATTCTTTGTGATTTAACTCCATCTGACGGATCAAACCCTCGCCACTGCGTGCGTTGCGTCTGAGGTTGATTTTCAGATCAATGCATTACGTCGTGGCATACGGGAGAAACTAATTAAACTAGTTAAAAAAAGGATAATGGGTTAAGATCGGATGTGTTTTATTTGGAAATCTACCGGATCCTTTGTGCATTTAACTTCCTGTTTGGTGCGATCTCATTGATGGGTTTTGACCAGATTTTGACCAAAGAGGAACTAAAAAAAAAAAAAAACAATTCAAATACACAACCAGCATATCTGGAATCAGTGACAGAGAGCGACTGGGACCAGAAGTTTATTAATTTCTCCCCATTGATTTCCAGTCAAAATGTTTTCGATCCCACCGGGCTCTAGGGAAGGGGCGTGCATACCGCCACCTACCGTTCATGAGTGTGTAGCAACATTGTTTTACATCTATTAAATTCTATTTTTTAATTTTGTATTCTGAAGATAAATAAATAATGCTTTCCTTAATCTATAAATATCTTTTATATTTCCTTTATTTCCCAATAATCCTTTAAGACTCCATTCTTGGCCTGTCCTTTCAACTCTTTTCAATTTCTTCCTTTCAGGTCCAGATTTTTTACAGTTCATCAATACGTGTTATACATTTTCTATCTCTCCACATCCTTCACATTTATCATTATTTTTCCTCCCTATTAAGTATAAATTGTCATTTAAATAAGTATGACCTACTCTTAATCTGATCATTATTATTTCTTCACACTACTCTGCGATTACACAGTGCCTGAAAGAAATGAGTGATGAGGGAGAAAAATGGTCAGTGGAGGCCACTGGTCTATGTGAGCATATGGGCAGGTTGTCATTTATTACATGTCTCATTGTACTTGAAGACATACTGCATGTGATTCAAGTCACACACAAAGCCCTTCAGTCCTCAAGTCTCACACTTTCCCAAGCGGCTGTGCTCACCGACAACCTGAAAGCGCACTTTGTGTCACAGAGACAGACTGACAAATGGAATGATGTATGGGGATCAGTGAAACAGTTCTGCCGAGACAAAAACATCACCGTACCCGAGGATGTGAATATTCAGAGTCAGACACCTGCTGGTCCTGGACCACTTGTACTGAAAAGAAAACGGGCCGCACAACCCCCCACCTCCCTCGATAATTTCCTGATAACAACGACTTTGGGCCACAGAGAAGAAGAAAATGATTTAAATACTGTACAAATATCCCAGAGTGAGACCCATGGATTCCAACAGCACCTGTATTTCCCAGTGCTGGATACCATAATTTGCGAACTGGACAGACGATTCACGGGAGAAGCTGTTGAACTCGCACAGGCCTGCGCAGCAGTGTTAAGATGCGACAAAAGTGGAATTGAGCCTCTCGTACTAAAGTATGGACAGCTTCTGAAAATCAACCACCACCTTGCTGGGGTAGAGATGGACCTTGTTAAAGCCTCTATTGTCGGATCTGTGTCACGTGAAAATCTTCAAAAAACTGTAACAAGGGCCGTTTATCCAAATCTATACAAGCTGCTGCAGTTGGCACTGACTTTACCCGTTGGATCTGCCACTTCCGAGAGGAGTTTCTCTGCAATGAGAAGGATTCGC